GCTAGAGGCTGCCCTTAGCTCCTAGAAGTCGCCTACAATTTTCTGTCATGTGGCTCTGTCCATAGGCAGTTAACAACACGGCAGCCTGATTTTTCAAGGCCATTAGGAGAGTGAGAGTGAATCTACTAGCAAGACAGAGTCTTATATGACTTAACATAATGATGAGAGTAATATTCCATCATCTTTGCTATATTCTAAATGTTAGAAACAAGTCATAGTTTCCACCAATACTTATGGAGAGGGGATTACACAAAGGCATAAACACCAGTTGGGAGAGGATCATGATGGTCATTCTTATTGTCTTTCTACTACATTGACTTTCCCAGTCTCTACAGAGGAAGATGAGAAGGAAGAAGGAGGTTGAGAATTATTGTAATGTCAGCCAAACCATAGTGTCTGCCACACTTTCCCTGTCCCAATTTCAGGCCAGAACCATAACTCAAAGTATCTGAGGGGTGTATGGTCTTCTCTTTTACTCCTCTTTGCACTCCAGCACTTTGGAATGGAGGGGAACATGGTCTTGGTGTAGGGCATCTCTTTCACTACCTTTTTCTGGAACTAGCTCTTCTAAGGGTTGGGAGCAAGGAGGAGGGATTGGAGAGGTAGAAATCTTTATGCATCTGACAGCCTGCTGGTGGGTTTTGCTCTATTTTAGTATGATCTGTTCTACTTTTGGTGGCTTCCCTGATACAGTAGCCTTCACTTGGGTGGTGTAGATAGTGTTCAGTTTCACTCTGGCCCCTTTGTCATTAATGACCCCCTAAGAGAGGGACAGGGCCCAGGTGGTATAGTAGTAAGAGCTTGGCTGCTAACCAAAAGGTTGGCAGTTTGAATCCATCAGCTGCTCCTTGGAAACCCTATCCTATAGTGTCTCTATGAGTTGGAATCGACTCGATGGCAATGGGTAAGAGAGGGACAGCTGTGTCTTTTTTTGGTTCTTGCCAGCAGTCTGTGCCTAGAATCACATTTCTGGGTAGGGCATCTTCTCACTTTAAGTTGCCTAGGCATCCATACAGTTTTGCATTTTCTCTCAATATTCCTTCAGTTTGAACCCTAAGAACAGTGGAGCCCTTTGCTGTGGAAACTGCGGTGGGCATGTTTCTTATTTTGTCTCCCTCAGGCACATTACACCATAGCCCTTTCTTGTCTTACAGGTACAGGCAATTTAGGCAAACTTCCTACCTCTACCCAAAAAACCAAACCCACTGCTGTCAAGTCGATTTTGACTCATACTGACCCTATAGGACAGAGTAGAACTGTCCCATTGGATTTCAGAGGCTGTAAATCTTTACGGAAGCAGGCTGTCACATCTTTCTCCGGCAGAGTGGCTGGTGGGTTCCAACCACTAATCTTTTGGTTAGCAGCTGAGTGCTTTAACCACTGTACCACCAGGGCTCCCTTCCCACCTCTAGAGACCTTAAAATGAGAAGCAAGCACAAGCCTCTATGTTCAAATCCACCTCCTTCTTCAAGGAACTTACGTCAGGCTTTCCCAAGAGTTCCCTCATCACCTTCTGTTCTCTAATGTGGCTCCTGAATAGAGACCTGTGGATTTTGTAGCTCATTAAGTATCCAGCCAGAGACTGAGAAATGCATCTCCCTTTCCTGTTGGTATCTCCAGTCTTTACAAATACTTCTTTTGGAGCCTCTTTAGCCTTACCTGGCTTTGAAGTTGGGGGAAAAAGCCTGTCTCTTCCCCATGGAGAAATTCACTATTCAGGGACCTCAATAATTGGGATAGGGTGCTAGAATAGGGTTCTAGTATGGAAAGTATTATAGATGAATTCCTGTTCTTATTTGTGAAAGAGTTGTCTAAATTTTTTTAGTGTGACTTTGATACTAAGAGTTTGGTAATCTCTGGAAGGATTGAGAACAGTTGTGCCTAGTTCTGAGCCATCAAGACGAGATTCTGGGTTATGGTGGTTTAGGTGAAGGGCCTTTCTAGAGAAGGCCCTGCTAGCACACATTGGCTTCCAAGAAGCCAATAATTTCATGTGTTCCCTCACCCTAATCTAACACTTGTAATCTACAAGATAACAGACCATGTGTGATTCCTCCCTGTATCCCCACAAGCATCACAGGATTTTGTTAGATATTTAAGTTATGGGTGAGAGGATGAGTAAGCGATGGATGGGCAAATAAATGAATAAATAGGTGAGTGAATAGATGACCAACTCTAATATTTTTTGTAATATAGGCAAATTTAATGCCTATATTATGTATAATTAGGAGGGCCAGGTGAATTTTTGAAACTCTATAAGGCTGTTCTGAAACTCTTATCCTATTCTTGTCTCCCCATTCTGCCCTCTTTCCACCTCTTTCCCTCAGCTTATGTCTCTCTCTTAGCACGTATGATGGGAATTTGGAAAGTTTCAAGCTTTTCTCAGGGTCACACAGCCTTGTCTTTTTCTTTTTTAAAAAATAATTGTAATGAGATATAATTCACATACCATATAAGTCACCCACTCAAAGTGTACAATTCCATGATTTTTAGTATATTCACAGAGTTGTGTAACCCTTTTGGCTCTAGGCACCCACTAATCTGCTTTCTGTCTCTGTAGGTTTGCCTACTTAGGACATTTCATATAAATGAAATCATACAATATGTGGTCTGGCTTAGAAGAATGTCATTGTAGGTGCTTAATAAATGTTTGTGGAGTTTCACAAATTAATTTCTGGTATCTAAGTTACCAAGGTTCAGTTGGTTGGATTTTCTTGCCAGAAACTATGAATCTGGAATGGAGACGCAGTTACGAAGGGAAGGTTAGAATTTCCTTGCGGGGGTGTATGGCAGCAGCACAGCACATTGTCTGCTGGTGGTGTCTGGGGGTGGTGGTGCCAGCAGTGTCCTGAGATTGTCCCTGATGTGTAGTTAGTCCCTATAGGCCCCTTTTTTCCTGCTGTTTTGCAAGCTTGCTTCTCCAATCTCTGTTCAGTTCTGTGAGCCCCCTAAATAGCCTTCCAAAAAATTTCTCCTTAGGCTTAGGATGGTCAGAGTTTGTTTCTGTTGCTTGTAACCATGAATGTGGCAGACCATGTACATGCAGAAAACTATAAACAATCAGTATAACTATAAACATTTTGCATAGTGGGAATTAATAGGAGAAGAAGAAGAAGGCAGAGAGCAGATTATGCATGGCCTCGCTGGCCATAGTAAGTTTAGACATTATCTTGAGGGCTATAGGGATTGATTTAACTGTTTTAAGTAAGGAAGTAACATGTTATACGAAGACTCTTGTGAGGGCTTTGTGGAGAATGGGTTTGAAAAGAATGGGACTGAAGTTAGGTGAATAAGTTAGAAGTCTCCCAGTGAAGTAGGTGAGAGAAGGTAAGACTTGAGCTCAGGTGGTGCCAGTGGGATGGGAAGAAGGAGACAGATTGCAGAGACAGTAAGATTACAGAAACAACAGGGCTTGTTCATTAACTGGGTGTGGGGAAGGGAGGAAAAGGAATGAGTCCAGGACTACTGACTTTCAGGTTTCTGGTTGGGGCAACTAGATGGGTAGTGCTAAGGGACTGGAGATAGGAATACAGAGCAGACCGATGATAGGCTGTAGGCCACGTTGGTTATGTGTGTAGGCTCTGATGTCTGACAGACTTCAGTTTGAGTTCTGGCTTTGCACTTATTAGCTGTGTGATTTTGAGCAAGTTACTACTTAACTTGAACCTCAGATTCCTCAACTGTAAAATGGAAATAACACAACTTACCTCTTGTTTGTGTATGTGTCTGCTGTATGGGTGAATTGAATGCACAGTGTCTGGTATACAGTAGACATTCTATAAATGTTAGCTATTATTACTCTTCAAAAAGGGCTTAGGGAGGAGGCCCAGGACAAAGGGGTCAGGTCAAAAGAGTACAAATAAAACATTGTGGCAGACCAGCTGAAGCCAAAGGAGGAGGCCAGGCAGGGCTGAGCTACAGGCACATGTTACTGAGCAGATGAATCACTGGAGGCAGCAAGCCAGACTGCCCAGGCCATAACACGCTGGACTGGGCTACAACACGATGACTTCATTGTCAGTGGGGAATCCTGGGGAACGTTCCGGAAGCCTTTTCTATTTCCCTCCCCGCAAGAAATCCATCACTTCTTCCTCTTTTATAGGGCTTTCCACACCCTGCCCTAGTGCCTGGAAGCAAAAGGAAACACTGGAAAGGAGCAGAAATGCCAGAATTTGAGCCCTGTCTAGTTCGGTTTGCTGGGTGACCTGGTGTATGTCACTTCACCTGTCTCCTCATCTGTAACACGGGAATGAGCAGACCTACCTCCCAAGTGCGATGTTAGGATTAGGTGATGGCTGCCGACAGTCAATAAAAAGGCGTGCGTTAGTGCTCTATCCATTAGTTGTATATTTTGCCTTCTTCTTGGCCCCTCTGACCCTAGTCCCTTGAGGACAGTGATTGGTCCTAACTCCAGCACTTAGCCCGGTGGGCATAGTTTCATGAATGAAGTGATGAAAGAATCAATGAGCTTTCGCAGCCAGTAACAGCGCCGAGAGCCCCGCCCCCTTCCGCTGCCCCTACCGCGCTGCTGGGCAGCCGGCGGGTATCTCGCGACCGTTCGCTGGCGCGTGCGCGGGAGACGGCGCGCGACCAAAGGTGGCGGGCGGGCTCCCCATGCGCGCGCGCGA